AATTTCATGAGGAACATTTTTAATTAGAATGCAGAAGGTGGTTTCTTAATTAAAATTTAGTTTTTTTTGTAAAAAAATGGTTTCGCTTCGTTTGTTTACGTTACACCTGATCGTGGATGGGATGGGTGAAAAAAATCATCTCATATATGCATCATGGAAGAGAACAAGCACGTATTACACATTATCGCTCCTTTCAATTTAGGAAATTACCGTTGTATTATAGTAAGTGAATCAAAACCCATGAGTGCCGTACGGTACCTAATCTGTTTTAACTGTCTGACATATCTAGTAAGTCCAAATAATTAACCGTACATTTCCCTTAAAATTTCCGTATCGATATTTAAAGTTTCCACGTGACGATTGGTTTTGCCACAACGGAATTGAAATAATAAAAAAAATCGTCTTGTACAAGTTGTTCAATTCTTTAATAATGATTATGAAGCGTATTTATATTGTTCAGAAATCTACGTACAAATAAATTAATATATATATATTAAATTGTTTTTTAATTTAAAGTTTGTATTGAGTATCCCATCCCATAGTTTCGAAGAACCAATATGCTTGATGTAAACTATAGGTATGGTTTAATACTTCAATATTTCATAAGCTGAATGTCTTTGACCCAATGATCTTTGGATTCCAATAGTGTATTTAATGGATCTTGATGAACTTTAATACAGAAATTGGTATCTTCTCGCATAATAAAATAAAAATTTTATAATATCGATTAACAGACTTGCAATGAGAAATTTAGTAAGTTTTTTCCAATTGCATTGCAAGATAAAAATGAATATTTTTGTAACTCAAGTCATTTTAAAAAATTTACGAATAAGAATTTCACTTTCGTTTGCTATTTTTTTTTTATATATAAATTATTGTTTCGATAGAATAAATTGTAATTTCAAATCCACTTATTAATTTGAATTTGAATTCTCTATCCAACTGTGTCAATTTAAAATTCCGTTGCAACATAGTTGATTCAGAATCTACAAAAATTTTGATTTCAACATAATTCCAATATATTTCACGACCCAGGATCTTACTTTAAACACATCAAAAAACCGATTTAGACCCCCAGTGAGTCCCCAAGGTCTTGTAAGGAAAGAGAGTCTATTGCTAAGAGGGTCTTGTACACGAAAATATATGTAAGACCTACAAGCATCATATATCGATATGTAAGTATAATGTTATAGACCCGGGTTTACTATCATCGGGGTCGATATAACATGTCTACAAACAAATTTTTTAAAAAAATTACAAAGCTTTAAAACCGACACGTACGTAGTCTTTTTGTATATAGTAGCACAGGAAGTATCAAAAAGGTTAGCATTCCAGTTATATTTTAAAGATAATGATAATTTGGCAACTTTTATAGTTGAAAAGAATTTTAAATCTTTTTTTGGAGTTCCAAATTTGTACAGTATTACCAGGATCATATAGTACCGCAATCATAAGATTTTAATTGAATAAAGGCTTTACGGCGTCTTACAAGTGATTAAAGACTTGAAAAATAAAATAAATTTCTTGGGTCAAAAATTTAAAAACTTTCGCGAAATATAGCGATAGTACAATTATTTAAATACATGTGCTAATATTCGATTATTTAAATAATATTTTTAAAGATCTGAATTCTGAATCCACAAAATTCCGAATTCACCTACAACATATATAAACAACATAATTGCAAGCTCTCTAGAAGGAAGTCCTTTCATCATATATTTATTCTTTACATTTTGATTAGCGAGAAATACTGTTAATAATTTAATCATTCCAACTGCAAATAATACACGTTGCACAATTCGTCTTTTAAATCGGATCCTTTTAGGAATTTCGATGACTGATGCCTCGACAGGTTTAATTACCATAATATTTGATTTCAGGATAATATCACCGACCTTCTCTCATATATGTTGATCCAACCATTTAACGAAATCGTTGTGAATCAAAATTATTTATACACACAGGAGAATTAGTCTATCAGTCATTTGTATTAATTAAAATTTGGACAATTTTTATGTTTCAAAAAACAACCATTATTTCGACTGCTCAATTAGTTCAACAAGAGAGAATATTTTGGAATTCTATCCGGTCTAGTGTGAAAAAAACGACTGATAGGAAGTGTTATTGGTATGTTGCCGTAATGCAATGCCGTGGAAAACGCAATCAGATTGATTTGCTATAGTTAATGTTATAATTTAATTTACAGCATTACTGTGTATGTTATAATTAATTACACATAACCGATAATGAAAATTTATAATATCGATATATACATAACTATAATATTTATCTATTTGAATTTAATTTTATGTTTAGTGCATATGTATTACGGTGCATTCAATTAATCACATAATCGCCGCATCTTAGACGCGATTTGCGAATTTATATCGATACCCTTAATATAATTAAAAAATTTTAGAACTAAAATAAAGTAACAATTCATCAAAAACCAAGTTCATTCATTTAATAACTGCAATCCGCCGGAAGAACAACCCAATTTTCATCTTTTACGAAAATTAATAACAATTTGACATTAATATAATAATTCACTTGTTACGTATTATAACCATTTTTTAGTATTTTATTCTGTGAAACAATATTATAATTGATTCCAAAAAAAAATTGAATTTATCTATTTTATTTACAAGGAACTATCGTTGAAAATTTTCAGACCACACCAAAAAAGTCAGTGAACAATAATAACATTAAATATCCACATCAATCATTATTTGGATCATCTATATCCATCGTCTCAATGTTATCAGTTCTAAAAATTTCTTGTAAAGGGTCTATAAACGGATCGACAGAAGTGGAATTAATTGTATTTATATATTTTTCCGCATCGCTCAATAATTTTGGAGAGAAATAAGACTTTTCAAGCGAACTTCCTTCGAAAGAGATTTGACTCTCCAAATTTTCATCAGGACTACTCCAGTATATTCTATCAAAAGTGACTTTTCGAAGTCTTCCTGATACTTTTGCATGATTCATAAGAATTTTCAAATGATCATCTCTTAATCCGGATGATTGATGTAATCCTAATTCTTCAAAAACATAATTACTACGTTGCAAAAATATGTCAAGTTGTTGAGGTGTAACTTCAAAATCCACATCGAACTTTGTTAATGAAAGAGGAAATTGATCACCGATTTCATAAAGCATTGAGCCAAGTGATTGATTTGGACGATCTTTGAAATTAATAATTTTGGAATGATGAGTACCCAATACTAAAGTTTTCAAATGTGAAAACGAGAGCCAATCCATTAATGCGACAAATGTGGTATCAGAATATAGAGTCAATGCCAAGTAATTAATGTTACCACAATAATGAGATATTGCTTTAATAATCACTTCAGTATTATTATTAACTATTATTAATTCTTCGAGATTAATAGTCATCCTGACAAGTGATGTAAGAGCTTCTGGAGAAATTTTATTTTTGTACAAATACATCTTTTTGACACTAAGAAAGTATAGTCCACTACTGTCTATAAGTGCAGGAGTGTCATCTGAATTGCTCTTTTTACTCCTTCCAGTTTGTTTAATGTCCGTACATCGAACAAAACTTAATGTCAACAATTGAGTGCAACGCGTTAATGGTTGAAGCTGCTGTGGTGATAATTGAATACCCGACAAATTAAATGATACTAATGTATGGGTGGCATGCTCTCCTATAGAAACCATGAGATTAAACCAAAGATCAGATCGTCGAATTATGAAATGTTTGAGTTTTCGTTGTACATTCACCAATTTTGAAATTATTTTTTTATCATTTTTATCATTTTTATCGTTAATTGAATATTGATATTTAACATCTAAATATTCTATTTTATGACAAAGTTCCACCATTTTATTGAAAATTTTCACCGCAGTTTCTAATCGATCTTCAGAAATCAACTTGCTCGTAAAATTTGTGTGAACTCTAAGCCAAGTTAAATCAGTAAAAGCTCTTTTCATTGCTTCAGCAGATTTCACTATATCAGCAGGGATACCAACACTTAAGTGATTAAAAGACATATCTAACATATCTAATCCTTGAGTCGAATTAAAGAGTAATTTAATTATATGAGAAATCATTAAAGTCATCATTTTCACTATTGGTTTCGTAATTTCGTCTTTTTCAGCCGTTTTAACATTAAAATTTCCTTTAAATAAGTCACGATATTTTTCATCAATATTTTCGGTATGAAGAAGCCAACCAAAAATCGCGTCGTGTAATTCGGATAGATTAAATTTCTTTATATAAAGAGAATAATCATCCATAGGATTATGCAACCTAGGAAGAGTAATCTTTGCATTCTTTAATGATTTTCTTTGTTCAGCGTTTAGGAAATCATTATAGACATTGATAACTGGATGTCCCCAAGACAATGGATCTTCCCACAAAATTTTTACACCAACTTCAAACCATTCTCGACAGACTCGTAGGCATACCCATAGATCTTGATCTATTAAATTCCTGAAAATTTCTTTTAAAGTCTCCTTGGATAATTTGGGAACCGAACCTTTACATTCGTTACCCTTTGTCTTAACCATTCTGCTAAAGCGGGGTATTATTTTGTTATTAAAAACTATAGAAACATAGAGAGTCACGGTTGATCGGCGAATATTATGATCACGTTACAGTTCGTGAAACCCTTATTTTTTTAGTTCCTGTAATTTTTGGCCAATCAAAAAACTTAAGATCAGATATAACTTGACAGTAAAAATTAAAAAGTTTCGTGTAAAATGTAAAATTTAATAAAATCGCGTCATAGTTAATAAAATTTCATAGAGAAAAATTTTAATTAGGCCGAGATATCCAAATCAGAGATTTTTAAATGACAGTTTCGATTTTTACATTACACCTGATCTTGAAATTCAATTGGTCAAAATTACAGAGTATTATATATACATACTTTAATCTTTTAAAAAAACGATGAATAATTACTCAAAAATTTCGATGATAGTGATAAATTTTTTTGAACTGATATCGATATAGGGTGTTCTCAATCAATTGATAAATAATGATCATGAAACGCTCAAGCATCATAATCAATAACAATACTTATAAAAAAAAATTTCTATTCAACCAGCTGCCGAAGCTTCAACTGGCTCTCCTTAAATTTTTTGCTGCAATAGCAATGGAATCAACTTATTGAGTTGTTAGTGAAAGTATTACTTTATGGTAACAAGAGGTAACCTTTTTTAGTCAATAATAGCAATTCCGCAGTTGCTGCTTCGCACTGAAAGTAGCATAGATAATACGAAAATGGTTTATAACCTTCATTATCTGTTAAATATAGTGAAAAACGGAATAGCAGTATTCATTATAGGTTTATTAAAGGTTAAAAAATGGGTCGTATTTATTACATTCGTATCAAGGTATCGATTATTTTGGTTTAAAAGTTTCAAGCATTAAAATAAAAGTGGCTATTTTTTTAGACCGGTTAGAAATTTGTTGTTTATTATGTTTGATATGCAAAAAACGTAAAAGTAATGATTGAACGACCTATATCAATAGTAAATCTTTGAAGAAAAAAGAAGTGTTATATTTCTCCGATTTGTTCATCGAAATTGTAACTCACTTAGTTAATTTTCCGACTAATTAAAAATCTACCCCATTGAGTGAGGTGCTTGAGGACACCATAATCAAAAACATGGAACTTGGTTTAATATTTAATATTGAATAAAGATACTGCATTCTCTTTTAACGTTCCTGTAGAGTCCTCGTTTAATAACGAAAAGGACGAACCTAATTATATTAATATTCTAGTTCGTGAAAAACTAAGATCTAATATAGAGGAGACTCTTACTGATAGTACTAAATAAACAAAAAAACACATGATAAATCTAAAAAATGATCCTGAGTTTGGCAGCACTTTAATTTGATCATAGTAACTGATAAAGATGGCAAAGAACTTTACAAAAACGACAAATAAAATAATACAAAATTTCTTATAATTCCTGCAGCAAGCACACTAAACGAACGCTTATTTTTAGACGCAGAAAATGTTATAAGCGCGAAGAGAACATTATTAGATCCAAAGTTGATTAATTACTCACGATATTAAGATTAATATATGGTTATTTTTATCAACGAATTATAAGTTCATAATATGAATGACGATATTATTAAAGATATGCTCAAACATTACTATTATAGTGATTTTCTAACACTACTTGAGAGGATTCGAAAATTTTACGCGATAATAATAAAAAGTATGTCTAGGATTCCAGAGCATAATGGATGATCGTATCCTTAACTTCACCTATCACAGTGTCTTTATCAAATCATCTTGTTTATTTCTTCTTTGGTGCAAATCTTGCATGAGACGTAACTTTGCCGTTGAAGGTGGAGTATATTCAGTTGAATACCATTTCCTTTCTTCAAGAGTACTAGCCAAATACAAGTTACTCTCGTTATAGTGAACTCTCGATATAAGTATAGTGAAGAGCAGTTTAGAAATTTACTAATATAGTAAAGAAAATTTCACAGCCCGATCACTCTGATACCAATTAATTGAATATCTTATTAGTTTATTTTACAAGTTTTTTTAAACAAATTAATTATGAAATAAAAACCTGATGCACATTATCTGCTCTCTTCTCCTCAAGTAAGATTATAAAAGAACATGAAATTTTTTGCTAAATATATATATACATATAAAATATCTATTTATTATTATTTATTTATTTATTTTTGCACAATGTATAGGACAAGTTTTTGTGCAGACTCTTTTTCTTTTCTCCTCGATAAGTCTCCTTATACTACGTACTTCTCTTCACAATCTGAAAAAATTTTATCATAATCAAATGCTTATTTCTGTATTCTAAGATTCGATCGAATAAATATAATATAATATATCTGATAAGGTACGTATTTTTCTATATTTGGGCATGCAAATAGAAAGGTCTAATCTATGAACTAACATATCGATCTAAAAATGTCTCTGTTGATTAAAAAAAAGTATGTCCGGTCTGCAGGTTACGAAAAAGACAATAAAATCAATAGCAAATTGCTTAAATTATTATAATGGTCGTCATTTTTATTCTACGTACCTAAAACGTTAATTAAAATTGTTTAAAATTATTATACGTAGGTATATGTTGTGAGTTAAAACTAGAAAGATTTAAAGCTGAGTTGCATCTATACATGTGTGTCTAAATTATTTTTTAAAAAAAGCAATTTCGACAAACATTTCAACATTGTATATGAATTCCACAATGTAACTATACTACTTAAAGTATTTTGACATAAAGAATTTCACTAAAAATTTTGACAACTACGAAATTTAATTTCGCTACTAAGAAAAATTTATTAAGAGGAGACACCCATGTATAGTTGCATTAGATATATTTTTAACCGTAAAAAAATTTTTATCAGAATTTACTCTAATTGGGTGAGAGTTTTAAACCAATCAAATTAAATTGTGTAATGTCATCACTGAGAAAGTTTAAAAAATTAATGACACACTTTAACGTTAAAAAAAGATATGAACTAAGCGATCAGAAGTAGTAAATCTAACATCATGATCTGCAAAGATCACGATGCGCATACAAATAAAACTTGATCGAATTATGACATGCAGTATACTATTTATCTTTCATACAGTATCTCTTTTTAACCTTCTTTTTTATTTTTATTTTTTTCGCCCAACAAAAGACATTTCACCAAACTAGTAGTTTGGGCGTTCTATAAAAATGTACTCAATTGTTAAATGTATGTTGATTGAAATTTAGGAGTTCTCAAGCTGCCTCTCAATTTGGTTAGCTAAAATTCATGGTGTAGCCCAGTGCAGCTTTGTCAAAATAATGACTCACTTGGTCAGTGTTCAATTTCTGACTAATTCAAAATTTGCCCTCCGATCCTAATGAAGCAATGACAAGTCTTTTAATGAATTGTGCAACATTTGCTAAATTACACGTACTACGTAGAAGATTAGATCGGATAATTGATAATCTATTATTTTAAAAACATATTAAACATATATATATATATACCTTATGTTACTCCCATTTTTATCCTCAAATTGGTCATAATGTTTCATATAACTTCTCTTAACATCAGTGTTGATGTTCAGAGCTTTTTTTGACTTGTCTCTTCCAAGCTTGTTCAAGCTTGTATAAATTCTTATTTAAAACTTGATAGAAAATATAACATTTTTATCTAGATCGATCAAACAGGTTATTTGAGTAAGCGCTTTTATTAAAATTTCCAAATTTGTCCAAAGCTATCTCGTAACCAGTGTTTAAAATTCAAAATTGATTTTATGTTCTCAAAAAAACATTTTTTAAAATTTTAATGTTCTCAAAAATTT